AAATCTATCCTTCCTTTCTTCCATAGTACTAAGAATTTTACCTGGATATAAGCCACTCAGCTAGACAGTACATATCCAAATCTCCCTAGAGAGATGTTCTGGCTGACAAAAACGTGTGAGAAAATGATGGGTCCAACTTCTACATCATCCTGGGTAAAAGGAATTTGCTTGCTCTGAATTCCTGCTCTTCTCTCTTAGCAGCCAGCTGGAACAGAGACATGAAATGGCCCAACTTCAACCATAAAGAGGCAGACAACATCTTAAGGAAGGGAGGAGCCACAAGAGAGAAAGAACCTGGGTCCTTGAATTACCACATACAACAGAACTGTTTCACCAACCTGGACAGTATGGTTTTGTTTGTTTGTTTTTATGTATTTGGTACAGCATCTCACTACACAGCTTGGACTTGTAATGATTCTCCTGTTTTCAGCCTTCCCAGTGCTGGGATCACAGGCGTGCACCACCATGCCCAATCTCAGTGGCCAGCTCAGTGCGCTGGGGGAACAGGGCCAGCGAGCATGTAGTGGCGCAGAACCCCGGTCCCTTCACTTGCCTAAGCAGGCGCTTTGTCTGCTGAGCTATCTCACCAGCCCTCTGGACAGTATGTTGGGGAGTGTTTGTTACAGTAGCTGAGCCTATACCATAACTAATACCTCTCCATAGGCAAGTGGAAAAAAACCTTTGGAATGAACAGAGAAAAGACAATGTAAGGTCAAAAAGGAGGCTGATGGTCAACTACAATAGGCTGAGAGCCAGGGTAGCTTAAAGAGCCCCTCAGCATGAAAAACACTGATACAAAGACATTCACAAAGAACTTAAATACAGCATACCTCAGGTGGTAAGTTGTGAAACAATGTTTTCTTTGTAAAGATCAGCACTTTCACAAAGGACACTGATAAAGGCATCTGTTACACAGAATTGAACAGATTTCTTAATGAACCAGATCAACAAAGCACAGTTTCCGTGGGCCACCTGCCAGAATACTGTACTGGACTAGCCTTGGTATACATAACCAGATGCTACAATGGAGTTTGTTACCATTTTCTATGCACACACACACAAAAAAAAAAAATCATAAGCTACATTCATTGGTCACCGGACATGGGATATTTTTAACCATCAAAATTCAAGAGAACCCAAGTTCAATTTCCTTGCACTGTACTCTAATTTTTTTTTAATCTTACAAAGACTGTCTTAAATTACATACTTTAGAGAGCAAAACTCCCACTGCTAACTTAATATGATTTCTGTAACACAATAAGTAAATCTGTATGTAAATCAGATTTTCATGAAATTAATCATGTATTCATCCAATGAATATTTCTCAGACATTTACTTGGTAAAGCTCTACTGGAAGCAAAGAGAAATATAATTGCCCCTCTTATATAGAATGTGGCCCAGTGGAAGAGACCAACAGCCACTCAGGGAGAAGCAGACGGTGTTATGAGCGTACAGAAGAGCACCCATCCCAGAAATGGAGAGTTCAGGAAGGATTTCTAGAACTGACATCTGGTCCAAGTACAGAAAGAGGACTAGAAGTTGGCCAGGTCAACAGAGAAAGAGTCCAAGGCAAAAGTGAATGTAAAATAAAGGGAGAAAAATGATACTTCATAAGTATATTCTGAGGGACATGTGAAAAAGGCATTATGAAACTATGTTAAAGAGTCTCAACTTCATCCAGAGGGCTGGAGAATTTTAATAACTGAATGACTTGGTTACAGTGCATGGAAGACTTAAGGTGGGGGAGACAGATGGCAGAGAATACTCAGGAAGGTTTTCATAGTAATGTAGGCAAAAGAAAACAAAGGCTGGGACTCACACGGCAACACTAGAACTAGAAAGATACGAGACAGCAAGGAAAGATTTCTAGGATGCAGAGTCCTACTTGCTTTTTCATTGATTTAAAATGTATCTTCAATTAAGCTGCATTACCATTACAAATTAGTATTCCTCTGCCAGCAGAGTTTACTACAATATGCAAATCTCCCCAAATTTCTAAGGCTTAGATTTGTAGGTGGTCAATAGACAATCTTCATTCCGTTGCAGATCTAAGGTCCCTTTATCTCACAGCACAAGTGTTTCTGGGTCCCGAATTTTTCAGATTTTAATGATAAAGTGGTCTGTGTATTGCAGACATGCTACATAACACCCTCCTTAGCATCTGGGATATCATCTCATAATCAAATGCATTCACAATTTTGCAGAAAAATGTGGATCATCACTCTAAAGGCAATGAATAAAGACTGTACGGAAAGCTTGGGTCAGGTTTTGCTACAAACTGAGTTTAAGTTGGGTTTTGCTGCCAAGCAAGCACTGTAAGAACCTGAGGTTATTCAGAGCTCTGGGTATTTCAGAATTATAGATAACAGATGGTGGCTCTATGATCAAAATTTAATTCCTATGCTAAGTTTGGATTTCTATAAGAGAACTATACCCTTAGACCATATTTTACCAAAGCACTTGAGAAGAAAATGCAAAGAAATAACTGCAAGATCCTACAATACCCAATTGAGGTACTAAAGAAGGGTATAAAAATGTCATTGAATCCAGTATCAGTGTGCTGAGGCAAACAGAACTCCAGAAAGTAGATGTTTTTAAAATCTTTTCCACTTCACAAGATGGCAAGTGGAAAAACTGAGACACTGCTAAGTATGTTAATGCCAGTGGCAGGATCAAGAAATTAGCCTCCCAGCCAAACTGCCCAAGAGAATGGCCTCTATGACTGAGAGAATGTACTAGCAAGGGAACCAGTCATTATGCCCAATCAACGTATTCCCAGAAAGCTTTATCCAAGCAGAAGTCCACAGCAGCTAACACAATTAAGAAAAAAGAGGGCTGGCCAAATAGCTCAGCAGATTAAAGTGCCTACTTAGGCAGACACAGGGGTCTGGAATTTGATCCCCTGGCCTGCAATGCCAGCCCCACCCCCGGGGTGAGATAGTGATTGAGATTAGGCATGGTAGCGCATGCCTGTAATCCCAGCACTTGAGAGGCTGTAAACAGGAGGATCACTACGAGTCCGATTTACACAGTGAGACCCTGTACACCTTGTACACCCTGTCCTAAATACAAAAAAGAAAAAGAAAAAAAAAAAAAGAGGGTCTTTTGTACTATGGCAAAGCCAGCTGGTGGTAATAAGAATAATGCTTTCAAATGGGAAGTTTTCAAAATACCCAGATACTACCCTCTGAAGACATAATTTGAAAAATGTTGATTTCTAAAAGAACTACTATAGTTAACATGTAAGAAAACCGCAGCTGAGTGTCTTTCCTGGGGACACAGCCGATCAATATCAGTGGACACAAGGGCAGCAAGCAAGCATCTCTGAAGCTGCTGAGTAGTGGTGTACCACATGCAAATGACAATTCCTCCACTGAGTTCTTTTACATAGAACAACCAGAATTTGTCATTACCTCTACCAAAATTAACCTGAATATTATGAAATCCCAAAGCATCTCAACAACATTTACTTTTAAGAAGCAGCAGTCTCATGAAATCAGACAGTGAAAAGGTGAACACTTTAAATCACAGGAAGAGAAATACCAGTTTATGAAACAAGGCAAGAAAGACCAGTCTCCCAACTCCCTGGCACAAAAGGTTGAACAAAGATAGAACTTTTCTACAAGTACTGGCAAATAAACTGCTTATTCCAGATTAGAAATAGTCAGTGAAAGCTCCAAAAACTGCTCAGTGAAAGTTCAAGACAACAGTCCACCTCTCTTTTACCGTGTGTGTGTGTGTGTGTGTGTGTGTGTTTGTGTGTGTGTATGCACATCTGTAAAAGTTTATCTTAATTCAAGACTAACAGGATAGTCTTGTTTTAAGAGCTGAATCAGACACTAACATTGTTTCTAGGATATGCTCTTTAATTTTAGGAATCTAATCACCTAAGAACTTAGACAAAGTCAAGGCCCCAAGGGAATTTTAAAATTCGATCACAGGCGCTCTCTGTTCATCAGGGAAATCTACATCACCAATCAAGGAATGAAGCGGGCCCTGGGTTCAATCCTCAGCACACACACAAAAAAGTAGATTTGTATGTACTAACATATAACGATGCCTGGGATAATCTTTTATAAGGTGAAAAGCCAAATGGAGGGTAACACACCATTTTTGCAAACAAACTACATACATGAGTATATTCAATTTAGTTTTCACAGGGCATAAGTAAGGCTCAGGAGGAACATATATCACCATCAAGATTTGTTTCCCTAGAGAGAAGTATTAGAGCAACAGAGCACATTCCCTTCTATCTCATACAGCATATAATTGTACATTCTGATGCGATACGGTGTGGGACTTCAACACATCTAAACAACGTGCCATGATCAAGGCTCAGTGATGAACACAGCATCAAACCTTTATTGTCTGTTTGTGTGGAATATCCAGTCTCATGAGACCAGACATCAAAAAGAATGAGCATTATTCTCAATGATTATTGTGGAATATGCAAAATCAAAATAACTCTCTAGTTATTCGGAAATATGCAATGAATTATTATGAGCTATACTCAGCTTACTATGTTATAGGACCCCAAAACTTAATTCTACTAAGTATATTTTTTAACCCATTGGCCAGCCCATCTCTGTCCTTCGCTCTCCTTACCCTACCCAGCTGCTGGTAAGCATCGTACTATTTCTGTGAGATCAACTTTTAGCTTCCACAAGTAAGAGTATTCTGCATTGTCTTGTAACAATCATGAAAAAAATATGAAAGTGAGATTCTATTAAAAGAAGTTACAGACCATTCCCAAATAAATGACTTCTCATTATTGCCCTTTCAGCCACAGCCACAGTACCCAACAGTCAGTAAGGCATTTCTAAATGGGCTGGCTCTTAATCTTTAGAACAAAGAGAACAGGGAGACACCTCGAAATCAGAAAAGTGACGGGATAAATGTGGGGTGTCATGGCCCACGGGGGCAAGACAGACATTCAATTTGGCAACTGTGGTATCTGAGTATCAGAGAGATTTTTTCATTTCAAAAAGATGAAGACTCACCAGGTAAAGGTTATTTTTGTCCTGAAAGGCATACTGTAATTGGGGGATCCAAGGGCTTGTGCTTCGAGATAATATGTTCCGTTCTTCTTCAAAAAATGAAACCTAGGGGGAAAAGAAATCTTTTAGACAATTTTAATATGAAGAATTAAAAAAAAAAAAAAACCATCATGACCTTTCTTCTGTTTTTAAGCCTAAACTGATGTTTCCATTTTAAATTTTGAAGAAAAAAAAATCACTTAACCTGGCATTTCACCAATCCATTGTTTGCATACTTTGTTCCCAATTTTTGTCAGGTCTAACATAGTATCTGTCCAATTATTTACTTAATATCTTTTACAAAGTCAAATCACTTACTTCGAACCTAATTCTCATTCTCTTTACCTTCCCTTCTGTAATTGTAGAAAAAGTTAAGCATCCATGCCAGGTGCCAGAGACAGAGAACATTAGGATCCAGAACAGAACAGGTATAAGCACCAGCTGGCAACCAGGTGTGGGAGAGGCCTGATTCAGGGTGTCAAGGGGCCCCGAAGGAAGCTATCCACATGTGGAGTGGCCTAGAAAAGGTTACCTGGACCCACAAAAGGACCAGAAATATCAACAGACAGTGGGTAGTATACATGCAATGCAGAAAATAAAAATTTCAAGGGTATAATGTCAGAGGCAGGTTATCGCTATGGCTGAGTTAAGCATCCCTCAAAAGGCTGTGTGGGGAAAGGTTAGTCATACCCCACGGTCTATGGAACAGGGACACGTTAAGACAGAGAGCTGAGGGAAAAGTGTTCAGGTCATGGGGCCTTTGAAGGGGATATTAGAACCCCAGCCACTTTATCTTTCTCTCTTTTGTCCCCAGGACATGAAGTGAACAGTTTGCTCTGTTCTGCTGCCATGATGGGCCACCTTGCCACAGGGCCAAAGCCACGGGAATAACCAACCACAGACTGAAACCGCCAAACTGTGAACCATGATCAACCTTTTTCCTTTATAAACTCATTACCTCAGTTATCTGTTATAGTAACAGGAAGCTGATAAGGTTACAAACATGAAAACTTGAATGAGTCCTGTGAAGCCAATACACAGTACACACACAGAAATGAGTATAGAGCTAAACATGTGCATGTGTACAACTATGTCTGTGTGCCTGTATGTATGTGGGGTATACAAGTACATATAGTGCAGCCATATACACATACCTTTAGCACTGTCCACTGAAAAGAGTCTGAAAGCATGATACCTCAGTAGCAATTTGCATATCCCATAACCAGATCTTGGCCCCTAAGCAGCAATTTCTACTATTTAGTTTAACCTTGTTTAAGGTTCCCCGGAGAAATGACTGATGACAGGAGTAGAAAAGTGAAAGTAAATGTGCAGAAAGGCCCGAACATCTTGCAATAAAAGAAAACAAGAAAGCACTAAAAAACGATGGACATTTGTCAAATGGACACAAATGCCAAGTAAAAGAGACAGTCTGAGTATAAAAATAAGAGTAACAGATTGCAGTTCATTGACTGCACTAGGAAAAGGCAGCTCCACATAAATAAATGAATGAAAACACTGAAAGTTTTGTGAGGAATAGGACATTTCTATCTTCTGAAAGATCTTCCCATAAAACACTAATTTAGGTACAAAGAGGAAAGGTACATACGTGGCAGATACCACTTAATGGAGCTGTAAGTGAACATCACCCAGAAAGTGACAAATTGAAAGTAAGTGTCATCTGCTGGGTAAATCAGAACACAGCCCTTACCTGGGATAGTTCCTACAAAAGATTTGTAACCTGAATCTGTGCCTGGCTTGGGTCTGGCTGCTGTGCTCAGCTCCTTTTTGCTACTGCCCTTGAGGGTGAACCTGTTGTGCCCCTCTGGCAAGATTTTCTGCTCCTGGACTAGCTGAGTGGTTCTGTCCCCTACACTCTCTGCAGGGATTGCAGCTTCAGGGTTTTACCCTAGGCCTGTATGCCAGGCCTGAGCTGAGTCTGGAGGGGACAAGGTGAAGTAGCGGGGAGAGGCAGCTCTCCCACACACTCACCGGGCCTGGACTAGGACTGGATCTGAGGGTTCCCGGAATGGGGCAGAAATTCCTACTCTGTGGGTGGGGTGTGGGGGGTTACTACAGAGGGATGGGGGGTGTCCCAAGAGGGTGAAAGAGGGTGTCACTCATGCTGCGCCTGGCCTGGGACCAATAGGTCACGCCAGTACAGGGTAGCAGGAAGCTCTCCCACACACTCACCGGGCCTGGGCTAGGACTGGATGGGGGGGGGGTTCCCAGAACACAGCAGAAGTTCCTACAGGGCAGGCAGGGTAGGGGAGGTGTTGCGGAGTGCTGGGGGGCGTCCCAAGGGGGTGGAAGAGGGTCTCACCCACACTGCACCTAGGCTGGGACCAGTAGGTCCCCCTGGCACAGGGTAGCCGGAAGCTCTCCCACACACTCACCAGGCCTGGGCTAGCTGTAACCTGAATCTGAGCATCATCTGACAAAGCTAAGTTTTACCAAGTAACCGGCCTAAAGCATCAGTACAAAAGTGTCAAGTTCCTAAAAGCCTAGGAAAAAAAAAAGTAAAGAACAGATCTAGATCGAAGACTAGCATAGCAAGACAGAAAAACTGTATGATCCTGGACTGGATCCTTGTTCTAAAGGTTGTTATTGTGACAACAGGTAAAACTTGAATGGGATCTAAAGATTAGACAACAGGAATGCATCATGACTGTTTTCCTGATTTTGATGGTTACATTGTGATTCTTAAGACAAGGTCCCTGTTACAAGAAATACACAGTAGGGGCTGGGGAAATAGCTCAGTAGAATAAGCACTTGCCTGGCAAGCACAAGGTCCTGAGTTCAATCCCCAGTACCACAAAAAAAAGAAGAAAGAAAGAAAGAAAGAAAGAAAGAAAGAAAGACAGACAGACAGACAGACACATTAAGGTACTCAGAAGTAATGGGCCACCAAGTTGCAAACTTACTGTCAAGTGGTTGAAGAAGAAAAGAATTGTAGTTTCTCATAGCTAATTTTACATGTCAGCTTGGCTAGGCCATAGCACCTAGTTATTCCATCAAATAATTTCTGTGAGGGAATTTTAAAGGTGCACTTATTTTAGTATTTATAGTCAGTTAATTCTAAGGAGCGTATCCTCAGTATTCTGGGTGGAACTGCTCCAATACATTGAAAGGCTTTAAGAGTAAAATTGCTATTTCGCTGAGGAGAAAGAAAGCCTGCAGCATGATACACACTGTCATGTGTGTAAATATCGCACTGTACCTATATTATATAACATAATCTCTCTATATATATGTCTGTATTTAAACACACAGTCATCAGTCATCCCTTGGTACCCATTCAAAGGTTTGGTTCCAGGTTCCTGGCAAATAACAGAATCACAGATGCTAATGTCCACCACTTTGCACCTTGCTAACAGTAAGCATCAGAAGTAACTTGTATTAATGTCATGATATCTCAATAAGTTTAGTATTAAAATATTTATACAGGTTTTCTCTCCTGAACGGTGTATAATTTTTTTGCATCTTCAGCTTGTACTAAGAATTTCCAGCTTACTAGTGTGGCCTATAGACTTCTCACTTTCCACAATCATGTAAATCAATTGCTTGAAATAAATCCTACAGATATGTATAGATACATACACATATTCTATGGGTATGTTCGTATATACGCTATGTGTAGATATATTCTTACAGGACACTGTCATGTGTGTAAATATCATACTGTACCTATATTATGTGTATATATAATCTCTCTATATATGTGTGTATTTAAACACACAGTCAAAAAAAAAACCCCAAAACACAGTCATCCCTTGGTACCCATTCAAAGGTTTCGTTCCAGGTTCCTGGCAAATAACAGAATCACAAATGCTACAGTCCCTCATACAAAATGGCACAGTATTTTCATAGAACCTACCCACATCTCTCCCTATACTTTAAATCACCTCTAGGTTATTTATGATACCTAATACAATAATAAATGTTATGGAAAGAGTTATAATATATTTTATAGGGAACAATGAAAATAAAAAATCTACACAGTCGATACACATGTAATTTTTTCCACCAAATATTTTTCAGTTTGCTACTGACTGAACTGCAAAAATGGAATCCTTCAATACAGAGGGCTAACTATACACTTACAGTCCACCAAAAACACATACTTCATGAGAAGAAAATTCACATGATGGCTTTTTTTTTTTTTCCAATACGTGGTGTTACCTTTGCATGGGGGCCCTAGAGGATATCGTATGTTACAGAAAACCCACTATACATCTGGTCCTTAGAGAAGAAACTGAAAGGGCATGTGCAGCAATCTCAATGATCAAGGTTACCCAAGGCCATACTAATAAATGTCTGGAACTTAAAAATCCACCACTTTGCGTCCTTCTTATTAAAAGCAGATGCCAAAGGTAACTTGTATTAATGTCATGATATCTCAGTAAGTTTAGTATTAAAATATTTATACAGGTTTTCTCTCTTGAACTGTGTATAAGTTTTTTGGCAGACTCAGTGTGTGTGTGTGTGTGTGTGTGTGTGTGTGTGTGTGTACATCTCTGTGTGTATAGAGAAAAACGTTTAAACTGTACATGATGGTGAGTTTTATGTGCCAATTCATAGATGTAGGATATATAAGACAAACACACACACACACATCATGCTGCTTTCATTCCTCTTACAAATTCTGACAAGCATACTGCACTTGCCACTTTTCTATAAATTTGTGATGTCTCGGAAAGCTAAATAGATTTAATTTTAAATATACCTTCTTCTGGCTAGTTCTAACACTAACACCATGAAAGTCACAGGCTTTGCCCTGCTAGTTAATATTGAATAGTCAAATGTTTTTAAATCATTTGTCCATGTGCTACTTAAAACCACCTTGCATGCCCTAGGGCTTAATCAAATCATTTGGGAAACAGCAGCCTAACCCCAGTGATTTATTGCCCTGGCACATAAAAGGTGTTCATTGGAGGTCAGATGAACCAAACAGTCTACTTTTACTCGTTCACCACTCATTTGGTCTGACCTCTGAAGCATCCATCAGAGTAAATGGTCTCTGAGGATCTCTTCCAGCAGTCATAGTACCCTGTGCAAGTGCGCTGACCTGTCCCAAGTGACAGGCTATGTTTACAGGACACTACTTCTCCTTAACCTTTTCTCTGACATTCCCTTTCTGCCTCCCCTGTGCTGGCTTCTCTTTTCTTATGCCCTTAAATTCCAAATCCTGACCATGATTCCATGAAGAATCCCACTTTTCTTTTATAATCACCCTATTAAAGAATGGATGAATGGTTCTCATTAACTCCTGTATGTGTATGACTTTAGAAAGTCTCAGCTCACATCCCACACAGTCACTTCAGGTCATGTGCCTGAGGAAGGCACATATATTTCAACAATTCTAGTCTTTGCCTGCAGTGTGGTACCTCTTATTTCCTACCTAAAACATAAGCACTGCAAGGTCGAGCTACATCCAATGCCTCTACTCAAACACCTACAAACGTGCCAAACAAAACAAATGCTCAGGAAGGGTATAATGATGACAGATAGTTTTTACTTAGATGCGGGAGGCTGAATGAGTATCTTCCATTCCTGTCTTCCAGATTATTTGCAACGTCCTGTGATTTTTTTTTTCCCTTGCTACAATATGGCTCATATTTTATTCCAAAACACAGAGGGCACATCATTCTTGCAGTCTTAACAAGCAGCTTCCTACCTTTTGCTGTTTCTCTGACTAGAGGCCATACAAAGTCACCGAAGTCCCTGGGACCAGCCTGGGATCTCAGCCTCCTCCTTGCAACAGCTTAAATGATCTCCAATCACCCCACAAAATAAACTGTCATACAGAAATGGTATTTGGAGGAGGGGTACATTCTGGTTTAGATCTTACATGCCCCCCCCCCCAAGCTCCTGTGTTTGAAGGCTTGATCTCAAGTTAAGAGGTGGAGGAAACTTTAGGCAGAAATGAATCTCTGGGAGGTGTGCCCTTGAAAGGCCCCTTCCGCTTCTCTCTATTCCCCTCCTTCCTAACTGCCATGAAGTGATCAGCTCTGGTACACACTCCCTACTATGATACCCAGCCTCACTCCAGGCCCAGAAATAATGGGGCAGAACGATCACAGACTAAAATTTTGAAACCAGGGAAAATAAATCTCTTCCCCCTTCAGGTTGATGTTCTCAGGTATTTGGTCACAGCCACAAAAAGCTAACACAGGGAGTTATTACATAACGGTTACAAAATTCCTCTTACAGGTAATTTTAAAATTCCAGAAATACCTGTATAACACTAATACTCCTTAACACCACTGAATCATATAATAAGAATTGTTAAAGTGGTAAATTTTATGTTATGTATATTTTACCACACAGAAAAAATAAGTTCTTGAGATTTTTCTCCCATCTTCCCCCTTCCCACCCAAATATCCTCATTTCACCCCATTCCTCAGTTTATTTTGTTCTAAACCACTAAACACTCACACGTACCTGCAGAGCATCTTGATACCCAAATTCCAGAATGTCACACAGCCACACTGTGCCTAGCATGTTCTCACCATTTCTGTATTCCCAGAACCTGTATTTCTTCATCAGAAGAGACTTTCTCTGTCTCTGGATTATCCCCATCTCCTCTCCCATCATCATTAATGAATTTGCTAACTGTTTTTCCCCTATGATGCTTTAGCTACTGAGCACCTGCTTCATAAATCTGCATGTTCCCGCTCTTTTTAAGACTGTTATTAAACCCTGAACGTTTAATTCCTTTTTCAGGCATCCCACAGAGCTAGGCACATTATCAGACACACGATGTACACTAGAATGCCTGTAACTAATATATTAATCTCTGAACTCCACGGCTGATGGCTGTCTCTAAAACACTGAAAATAAATCAATATGTCTAGAGACAAAGCCTTTCTCAAGAGAATGAAAAGTACCACAATTGAAAAGATAACTTCTTAACCTGTTCTCAAATAAGCAACGGCCTAGCTATGTAACAATTTCATTTAATGTCTTCAAAGGCCTGTTTTAAAATCAAATATGTATGCCCACATTACAAGTATCTACAGTGTGCACAAAAGCACATGTTATCTATTCTATAATGTGCCACGAAAGAAAGATGATCTTAGACTCTTTAGTTAAAAGGCTAATTTGGCTCTGAACAAATCAATGAAAATTTATTGCATTCAAAATTAACCAACAGCAGTCCAAGAAGAGTAAAGAACACAGGACAGCTCCTCACCCATGCAACCACAATTAATCAGAGAGCGAGAGGAAAATTTGCTGGTTCCTCGATGCCAATTCAGCAGCTGAACATCTCTGCGATAAACATTCTAGTACAGAAAGGGGCTGAGCCTGAAGTCCTACCTGTTCCTGGGCCAATAAGGCCTTCTTCTTCATGATTTTCATGGCGTAGATGTCCCCAGTTGCTCTCTCTCTTACCACCTGTACTTCAGCAAAGTGACCACAACCGACAAGACTTTTGACTTCAAAGTCCTTTGCCGAAGGCTGGAGCTCCTGTAACTCAGCTATGGTGTTGGAATCTGTGGAGATGAATAGTTACGCCCAGATGAACAAAGCCCTTCAAATATGTGCATCTTTATGAGAAGGGGGGAAAAAAGAATTTTTTTTAAAGTGTTCTTATGTCTTCCTTCACTGTCAGAAGACATTCAGTCACTTTCCAATCCATCATGAATAATTATAAAATCAGCACAAAAGTGTTTTTATATGTTAAGTTAAAATTAAGAGCTCCAGAAATTCCAAAGTACAGTTTCCATGGTAGCAACAATTTGATCCTTGTAGACTTAGGAAGCAGGGAGGGAGCATCCAAATCATGCTTTTCTTCTTCCTCTGAAGGCTGTGGGGCAGTGGCTGGTCAAAGGTGCTTATGAGCAGTTAGACTGGCTTATGATGTGACATAAGCAACATGATTCCTGTTTCAGTCAACTTTGATCATTCTACTCTAACTAAATGTGCTCTGCTCCGTTTTATCCCACTAGCTCGTTTTATCTTGCTTGCCTTGTGTCAGGCATAGTAATGCCTTCCTTACCTTATGTTATAATTTGAATCTGAAATGCCCCCTCCCCCCAAAAAAGCTCATGTGTTTAAGGCTAGGTCTCTAAAGAAGTAGCATGCAGAAATGGGGCCTTTGGGGCAGTGGGGCCATGACAGCTCTGTATTCATCAACAGAGCCATCCACTTATGGACTCATCGCTTAATGGTTTTTTGGAGAGGGGCTTTGCTGTATAGAAGGGAGCTTCCTTCGTGCTGTCTGGCTTCTGTGAGGTGGGAACTCTGCTCTGCCACTCACTCTCGGCCACAGTGCTCTGCTTCCACAGAGGGCAAAAGTGATGCCGCCAGTCGGTCGCACGCTAAAACCTCTGACACCTTGAACCAAAATAAACCTTCCCTCCTTTAAGATGATTTTCTCAAGTATTTTGTCACATCTCAACATGTAGCAGTGCTTTCAAAAAGAGAAAGGTTTTAGCTCGAAGGACCAAAAGGAGCCCCGACATTTGCTCTGCAGGGCTGACGTGCCACAGGTCCGGAGGGGTTTGCAACCATCTTTGGCATGCCATGGTTTTATTCCTTTTCTAAGTCCAGGCTCTCAGGCAGAAATCATCAACCTGCAAGTATGGACTGAACAGTTGGTTTGTTTGGAATCTTACATTATTTTTATTAACATCCTAAATACACTAAGCTGAGACATCACCAGACATGCGGGGACCCTCCTGACTTGTGAGAATATGGGGGAACAGAGAGGCCTAAAAATGGAATCCTGAACATTACGAGGGAAACCACATCACATACAGAGATTTTAGGCCAGTTGAAGACACAGACATCTATAACCAAACTTACCCTGAGCTGGGGGTGTAGCTCAGTGGTATAGTATATCTGCATGATGCACAAGGCCCTGAGTTCCATTGCTAGCACCACAATCAACCAATCAATCATCCTGGAGGATCCCAAAGAAAGCCATCATGTGGAAGACCAAGAGACTATCTTGAAATCCGCCCCCTAGACACTAGAATGCACCAGGCAGTACAAGGGACGGCCACTTCGAAGTGGCCAGAGAAAACGTTGAGAGCAGTCAGTCTTCCACATCCACAGATTCTACATCCATAGATTCAACCCACCACAGATTAACAATAATTGGGTGTGGGGGGAAAACCCAGAAAGTTTCACAAAGTAAAATTTGAATTTGCCATGCACCAAGTACTACACTGAATCTACACAAATGAAGAGATGTGCAGGCCTCCTATTGAATAATATATGTAGAGATGACTTAAAAGTACATATGAAGATATGCATAGGTAACGTGAAACTAATACATAATTTTATATAAGGAATTTGAATGTCTTCAGGGTCCTGCAACCAATTCCCCATGGATGCCACATTCTAGAGTCACAATCAGCTCCACAAAAAAAGTTGTTCACATAATGAGAAGAACAAAGTGAAAGACCATTTCATACCAGTCATCGAGTAGCACTGTGATAAAGTAGCTAGTGCAACTGTAACTGTCATTACCCACCCACTTCCTTTGTTGGAAGGGTGGAGCTGAATGATCTCAGTTCAAAGCCATCCATGATGAACTGCCCCACACTGAGAGTTTTCCTACTCACAGGCCACATCCTCACTTAAGTCAGTCATCCTGAAGACACCCTCCTTGGCCTTTTAGGGGGGACCAAGCAAGAGTAATGGTTAGATCTGCATGAGTTATTTATGACCACAGTTTAAAAAAAAAAAAATCTTCTTCCTCAGGAAAACACCAGCCTGGCACAGTAGAAGAGCCTGGAGGTCCCTAGGTGGCCACTGTGGCTCCTCCAGAGGCTTCGGAAATGGCTATCAAGGGTATTGGCATGGCAAGAGCTGGACCAGGCCAGGCTGAGGCCATAATAGCAGGAAGGACAAGGACGAGGAGTGAATTCCCATCATCAAGCTAGGCCAGCTGGTGAAAGGACATGAAGATGAAGTCTCTGGAGAAAATTTACCTCTTCTTTCTGCCCATCAAGGAGTCTAAGATTATTGACTTTTTCCTGGGCACATAGCTCTAGGATGAAGCTCTAAAGATCATGCCCTGCAGAAGCAAACTGGTGCTGACCAGGAGGTTCATGGCATTTATTGCCTCTGGGGACTACAATGGTCACATTGGTCTGTGTGTAAAGAGGGGTCACCACTACCATTTGAGGGGCATTATCCTGGCCAACTTCTCCACCTACCCTGTGTGGATAGGCTACCAGGAAACAAAACTAGCAAGCCCCACTGTCCTTTGCAAGATGACAGCCATTGTAGCTCTTGTTGGCACATGTGATCCTCGCCCCCAGAGGCACTGGCATCATTTCAGCCTCTGTGCCCAAGCAGCTGCTGCTGCTGGAATCAATGACTGCTATGCCTCTGACAGGGGTTGCACTATTATTGTGGGCAACCTGGCCAAGACTCCCTTTGATGCCATCTCTGAGACCTACAGCTGCCTGACCCCTGACCTCTGACCTCTGGAAAGAAAATGTTCACCAAGTTTCCCTACCAGGAATTCATTGACTATCTTGTAAAAACCCAGATGGACTCAAGTTCCAGCAGTAGCTATGACACGGCTTTTACACAGGAAAAAAGTAAACAAAATCTGCTTTAAAAAAAAAAAAAAAAAAAAAGCCAGAGCATCTACACAGAGAATACAATGTGGAAGCAAAACTAAAAGCTATACTATACTTTCCTTTATCCTGAAGATGCTGTGCCACACATCTTCAGTCTCCCTTCCCTGTCCCTTTCCATGTTTCTTTCACATCAAGTATTTGAGAATGAATTATAATTCATCAAATGCACTGGCTTGCAGCTTCCTGTGTTGAACCCGATTTCATCACTGCCTGTACACAAGGCCAATCTCTCTTAATTTCCCATCAGGCCTTGGGCCCCAAAGTTGCTTACAGCATTGTCCAACTTAATAACTCTGGGTCTGTCACTAGAGACTACCAGGCATCTCAATCACACAAGCAGACAAACTGCTTTGTTGGCAAAACCATGATGCTCTCTAAAACTTTTATGAAACCACTGCAAATCTCTTACCTTTTTTCATCCAAATGCTTTTGGATTATTGAGGTGAACAGGTGAAATGCTAAAATCAGGCCTATAACTATTTAAAAAAAAGACTATTCATAGCTGGGTGTGGTGGCACAGTCTGAGGCTGAGGCTGAGGCAGGAGGACCACTGTGAGTTCAAGGTCAACCTAGGCTACAATGTGAGTTCAAGGATAGCCTGAAATGCACAGTGAGATTCTCTCAAAAAGCCAAAAAAAGAAGGTGTTCATGATTTCTAGACACACCAGCTGTGTCTATAACTCCAAAATCACCTTAATCTTTGATCCCTATGTCCTTTGATTTATAGTAGTTATGAACCCAATGGGTATTAAGTGAGGGGAGGGTAAGGACTCAAAATACTGTAATGAAAATATAAATTGTAACTTTATCATCTAAGTATTTGGATGGAAGCTGGATATGATTGATTTATTGCTCTTTTTTGCCTTTTTTTTTTTGCGGTACTGGGGATTGAACTCAAGAACCTTCGCTTGCCAGGCAGGGGCTTATTCTACTGAGCTATCTCCCTGGCTATTGCTCTTTTTTGTTCTAATGACTCTGGTCTAACACTACACAGTGAAAATACATATACACTGAAATTTCATACTGTATACCAAATTTATACTTATAAGTGAATTAAGAATCTTTAATTTGGGGCTTGGTGGTGCACATTTGTAATCCCAGCATTCAAGAGGCTGAGGCAGGAAGATGGTCACAAGTTGAAGGCCAGCCTGGGCTACATAATGAGTTCAAGGTCAGCCTGAGCTACATAGTGAGCCGATGCCCACACAGTGAGAGAATCACCTGAAGATCCATTTCTCTGAATATACCAATGGTTAAACAATGTACAACTATAACTAGCAAAGGCAGAAATCCCTTTTCTAGTTCCTAGATGCTTATTTCCTGCTGCCTTTGGCCCAAGGTTAGGAGCATCTCCGCTGGAGGTCCTATTCAAGGACTTTAGTCTCTCTTCCATTTCCTCAGGTAGCCCCCCAAAAGATTTCTACCCCTATCAGCACGCTCAAGAGACTTGGGCAGAAACAGTTGATGGACATTTCACATGAAAGGCAAAGCTCATATTCCAAAATAGAAACTCAAAAAGGAGGAGGAAAAAAAAAAATCATACTAATGTAATCACTGGACTTCAATCATGGCCTCTTCATGGTACTCCCTAGGAAGCCTCTTCAAAAATATGAAACAGTTCCCCAGAAGAAAGATTAACAAAAAAAAAAAAATCTATATTCCACATAACCTAGCCTCTGATGATAAAATGGCTCTTGATGACTGATTTTAAGATTCGGGCAGGGCAGTCTCAAAGCTAACGAAAGGCCTGGAGATGGCTTGTCTTGTCCTGTAATTTCCTTGCCCTCCTACTCCTAACTGAAGGATTTAAATATTCAAGAAAACCAAGGTAGGAGTTTATTCAAACAAATAAAGAATAATCAACAAATGGCCCAAGTGCATTTGAAAGATATACAATGTATTAAATATTGTTGAGGTTTGTGATTATTGTCATGGAGTATCACTTATTATCTACAACGTTCCAGGCAATACAAGCCAGGTCTGTGTATTACCTAATTCACAGCCTGATTAGATAGAAGTTCCCCCTACTTTGAAGATGATGAAGCTGAGAACAAAGCACAAATAAAATCCTGAAGGTCACTTGCACAGACATACATGAGTTCTACATATGCACCATCTATGGCTTCTCTGGGTAACTGCACAGCCCCAGTCTAGGAAGTCTTGGAAATCACAGTGCCCTGACCACTTTGGAAATTTGGACAAGCTGATCACAACACTTCACACCCTGGTAGGTAAAAGACCCAAAGTAGAGCCAACTCAAATCTTCTCTAGTACCTTGTAACTTCCCAATGGAACATAATCATCGAGAAGGGTGTGGTAGCCAGTCACTGAGCCATGCCAATTGGGATTCATGTCCTGTGGGCAGCTCATGACTTGGAACTGAGATTATATGACTTACAAAACTTAAAATATCTCAGTCACAACTACTCAACTGCTACAGTATTATAGTGGCCATAGACAATACATAAATGAATGGGAATGGCTATGTGCTGGTAGAGCTTTGATTCTCAATAGCTATCACAGGTCAGGCCCCTGATTTAAGGGTCCCAGGAAAGAACCATCTGAACAGCAAGAGGCCCTGAGACTTTATGGAGCAGGGAGGAAGGGAAAGAACACAAGGAAAGAGAAAACAAGAAAGGAGGAGGAGGGAAGGAAGGAAGGTAGAAAAGAAGGGAAGAAGAGAGAGAGGAAGAAGAGGAGGAGAGGGACAGAAGATCCAGTCCATCCCAGAGTCCCATCTTAGCCCAGCCTTCCAGCCAGGACAGCAGACACTGAGTGAGCCACTTCAATTATTCCAACCTGGAAGAACCCCAGTGATTGTAATCCTGGTTAATGTCTCATAAAGTAGGCAAATACCTAGCTGAGTCTAGTCAGCTCACAAACTCCTAAGAGGTAAAATAGTAACTATTGTCTCAAACCATTGAAGTTTAGGGTCATTGGTTACAATGTTGTGGAAGGCAATGTTTTGCAAATATGATACTATAGACATGATGGGCCAGACAGTTCTATGTTACAGAATATTGTCCTGAGCATCATAACATGTTTCATAGTATCTCTGGCTCACCCATTAGAGGCCAGTACCACCTTTCCCTGCCTCTTAGTCAGTGATGATCAAAAACATCTCCAGATATTACCAAGAGACCTGGAGGATAAAATCACCACTGGTTGAAAATAACTAGCATAACACAAGAATATGAAACTAGGGTACTAGCAGCCAACTTCCCCCAACAAATGGAAACTAAGCAAAGTCAGAAATAGTGAAGAGAGAGGCTGGGGAGATAGCTCAGCGGTCTGAGCACCTGCCTGGCAAGCACAAGGACCAGGGTTTGATCCCCAGTACCTAATGCCCTACTGCCCCATGCCATGTCAGTCACCGAAACCGTGTGGTCGTGCACACCTGTAATCTCAGCACTGGGGAGGCTGAGACAGGAGGACCACTATGAATCCAAGCTGCGTAGTGAGACCCTGTACCAAATAAATAAATAAAAAGATTTTTTAAAAAGAATAATAGTGAAGATAGGGCCAATATGTGATTTTCATAGGTACTAGGTACTTCTGCCTTCATCATCCCCTTTTGTACAATTTTTTTAAATGATATTTTATGACTACGTTGGTATAAAGGTAAATATCATCTTAAGGGGCTGGGGTATAGCTCACTGGTAGAACACAGGCTTAGGAAGGAAGAATATAACCCAGCATCATTAGATATATTATAATTAAATGTCATGCATCCTCAACACTATGTCTACTGGATATTAGCCCAGAGTAAGTATAAAGATAGGGCCAAAGGCTATCAACAAGGTTCCTGGAACCAACGATGCCTAAAACTTGACTCATTCCTGGATTCCTCAGTTTCATGAGTCAATAAACTCAGTCTTTGAACTGAGTTTCCGCCACTTGCAACCACGCAGTCTCACAACTACAACTGGTGCATCCTGAATTTTTACCCACGGTCACTAACTACCCCCTCACTCTGCCTTCAGCATTCCTTCTAGATTGCTCTCTCAGGATCACTTTCCAGCAAAAGCTCCCCAAACTTACACTTCCGGACAAAGTTGCTCACGTGCTTAATCTTCATCAGAGCAGGCTGGCTGCATTCTTCAAAGAGAACAAACAGGGCATCTAATATCCCTTCTCTGGAAAGAGCAGACATCTGCTGTTGAGTCATAAAGGGTGGTTTCCCCTAAAAACAGCAAACAGCAGATGGAGACACTGTCAATAATGAAAAGCTCTGATCAATAACGACCACACAGAGTAAATTGCACACCACCAACTCAACTAACTGCTCACGACACACTAACAGCACAATTTTGTGGCTGCATCAGTTGACAGGCATTAAGTGATCACTTGCACCATTTCATTACCGTGAGTCTCTTTTGCCAGCACCTGGGAAGAAAAACATCAGAAGTGTGTCATTAAAAAGAAAAGGCCCTTGATTCTTAATGGTCTGTGGCTCGTGGGAACATTTACTCTGGGGCCTTAATAGTTCTGACATGTTTCCATCCCTCTACAATAGGAACAAAGACTGCCACTTCTTTCTCGTGCGCGCACAGGTTTGTTAATATAATTTCATTTTCTTTAATTTATTCACAGTAGTACAAATGGAGCGACTACCATAACTCTGAATTTATTCATGATCTGGAGGAACAGTTACAAATTGGCAGACTGTGTCTAGCCCACAGACATGTTTTGTTTGGCCTGTAGTGTTTAAAATAATTGGAATTATCTGCCAATATTTAAAAATCAGATTTCACCACAAAAAAAAAAAAAAAAGGAAAGAAAATGGAATGTCTGGCTTCTCTTGAAACACTGGTGGAGTTGGCAACATTGTCCCTACATTCCTACTGGTGACACTGGCCTGGAACTAAGGGATGCTGCCCTCTTGTCAATTGATATATTCTGGACTTCACTATGGACCTGACTCCCTGACTCCCACCTGGACCACTTGTCTCATTTACATTTATGACCTAGACCCCTAACACTTGAGTTTGCAACCCTATGTCTAAAGCAATGACTCCCATGTGCCAAGCCATGGATCATGTACCAATCTCTTTGCAAAGACAGGAAGTAACAGTTCCTCCAGCTCTGTAGGACATGCCACACCTCCATTCTTAGACCTGGGGTCTACACCTCTTTGTTTTGAATCTGTGCTATCTTTGAGCCTTGATTAAGCCCACAGACTGTGACAACTGACATTATTCTAGTTCAGGCAAGGGCCCTAAGAAGCCTAGCAGCTGCTACTTTGGCTTTTTTGGAAAAGCCAGCAGCCATATACAGAGATTTAGGCTAGACCAGAGGTCAGCAAACTATAGCCCAAGGGCCAAATGTGGCCCACAGCTTGTTTTCATAAATAAAGTTTTATTGAAACATAGGACCATCCATTCCTTTACATACTGTCTATGGCTGCTTCTGTGCTACAGTGCTGAGTACTTGCAAAAGAGACAGCATGACCAACAAAACAGAAAATACTATTATTAAATTGTAAAAAATACTGTTATTTACAGAAAAAAATATTAAGAGCCTTCAGCTAGACTACTGAGTGAGAAAAAGATCTCATGGAGAAAACAGACCATTTGGAGGAACACAGAGATGCTCCAGATGGCTGACAGCACTCAGATGTTCCAGTCCCAGATGTGATCCCAAAGCAGTATGGTTCCTAAAATGACAACTGATGTCACAGGGTAGAGAAAAACCATGTGGTTGAATCTGGCCAACCCACAGAATGCTAAGGAAAAAAAGTCAGTGCTGCTGTATACTTCACAAGTGGCTTATTTCACAGCCCTGGATAACATTAACAGATTGGCTTCATTTGAATCCATAAAAAACTAAAGAAATGTAAAAATAATAATAATCTTTAGTCCCGTGCCCAATCTCTTGAATTAAAATTTTCTTGACTATAGTTTAGAATGTGGTTTGGTTTGGTGTGGTTTTCTTGGGACAAGGTCTCACCATGTAGTTTAGACCAGCCTTGAATTCACTATGCAGTCCAGGCTGTCCTGAACTCCCAACAATCCTCCTGACTTGGCCTCCTGAGTCCTGGGATTATAAGCATACACCACCATACCCAGCTTAGAATGTTTTATTAAACAAATTCCCTGGGAGAGTCACAGCTCAGTAAGGTTTGGGAAGCACTAGGTCACAGGACCACTCCATATATCACTTTGCCATTAACTCAGAAATTTAAGAGTCTTTGTTTCTTTTCTTCAGTGAATTTGGACCAACTAGACCTGGCATTTCCAAACACAATTCCAATTCATAACAAAGTTTTCAACAGCTTGCAGTGAACTACCAAAAAATGACCACTACACAATATCTCCCTCGGATAAAGCTAAATGTATTCAAATTTTAAATTGGTTCTTTAGTTTGCGATCTTGTTCTTTCTCTCTTGGTGTTTCTCAAAATGTCCTTTCTTAAATAAAAAGGGGTGCAATAATAGGTTGGTTTTTGTTTCTCTCATCTTTATTTGGTAAAATTAAAAAGTTGGTGAACCTACATCTGTCCAGCAATTCGTGAAGTTTTGCTGGCTCTGGAAGTCAACCAACCACTGATCCACAACACACTGGGACACACCACTGAATAGGAAGAGAGGAGACAATGTAGCACCGAGTGTAAATGACTTACCTGAAAGGAGAATAAACACACTACTGCAACTAAACCTCCACAAAGCTGTACAACATGGGAAAAGAGCAGCGTCTGACCCTGTCACATAAGGCAAATACTAGGTGCATGCTATACCTGAAATGATAGTCTGGATTGAATGTTCAAGCCCAGTCTGGGTGACACAGTGACTTAACAAGATCGTGTCTCAACTTCTTAAAAAAAAGGCTGGGTGGGGCTGGGGAGATGGCTCAGTGGAATAGCTTGCCTGTCAAGCACAAGGGCCTGAGTTCAATCCCTGGTTCCGCAAAAAAAAAAATGAAGGGGCTGGGGAGATGGCTCAGTAGAATAAGCGCTTCTCTGGCAAGCGCAAGGGCCTGAGTTCAATCCCAGGTTCCGAAGGGGAAAAAAAAAAAAAATGAAGAAGAAAAGACCTGACCTGGCCCTCCTTGGTCTCTTCCTTCCTATCTCACCCATGTGAATGTTCTACACGTGCTCCTGCCTGGTGAAGGCATCCATGATGAAGACCTCACAGAACTGAACAGAAGCCAGCAGAAAGCTCTTGAATTTCCACAACGAGAAGCTAAATAAACTTCTTTTATTTATAAAGCATTCAGTCTCACTAATATTGTTATAGCACACAAAACAGATGAAGACACTCAGCATTAAAGAGGTGAACTGAGGGTTTATTCACAATCTTTCCAGGTACAACGATATTGAAATATAAGGTGTAGTTGATAACCCCCAACACATGCTAGTGGTGTAGCCCAACGTTTGCAGGAGAAGCAATGAAAGCCAGATAGATCCAAAATGGAGCCTAACACTGTCATTTACATGCTACGTGACCTTGAGCAAGTCCCTGCCTACCACTATGCTTATCTCCTCATATTTGAAGTATCCATAAGAATGATCCTTGGGCTGGTGAGATGGCTCAGTGGTCTAAAGCACCTACTTAGAACAAGCTAAGCTAAGCAAAAGCACAGGGACTGCGGTTCAATCCCCCA